CTGTATAGACTTGATCTGTAGCCTATTAATCTTGTGGCACCTAGACTGGGCTTAAAAGTGTTTGTAGACATTTGCTTTTCCAAATGAATCATTACATTTATATAAAATAGTTACTTAATAGTTCATTAACTGAGAGCACTGACAAGGCTCTTTAGTGCAAATAACCTTTCCGATATGTTTTCTAAACAATAGTCTTTGCCACAAAATATAAAAGAAACCCCGTTAAACCATTTTATATATTATCAGCATTTTGATGAATTTTGAGTAAAACTGAAGAAACTAATTTTAAAGCCAGGTTAGTCTAATCTTCATTTAATTTCTTCACTATTGTTTCCTCTCTGGGAACAGGGACTATTCCCAGTATTAATAAGAAATGTCCAAAAGAATCTACTGTTAAGTTTTTGTGGCATTAAATACATCTGTACCTATAACATATATTCAACCCAATTTGAACATAACAGAACTTAATAGCTGGGTGTCTCAATAAAAAACCCCACAACAAACCAAAACCTAAAAAAAACCCCAAACCCCAAACTATGCACCCCACAAAATCCAGCAGCTAAATCAACATTACCTTTTCAGCATTCAGCTTTAAGATATTAAGATGAATGAAGAAACTGTTTCTCATACTGTCTATATACCCCAATATAATTCTTCACATCAGTATGTCAAGCTGAAATTTTCAGTGTTTATACATATCAGAATTAGAAATTTTTGAGGCCTCCACAATGAAAAAAAAGACACTTTCAGGTACATACTACATAAAGCATGGCATTTTCATGGTATTCAGTAAAGTCTGGATGTTTTCCCAAAGTTTATTTTCACACAGCCAAGTAAGTATTAATCTTACGAAATAATCTAACCCTGAACTGGACTGGTAGCAATGCCTCTGAGATCACACTTTCAGATTCAAAAGGAATCTGGATATTTGTGCTTTGAAATCCTGTCCATTTGAGCCACTTACGCCTTCTACTACAGGATGAAAATAAACAAAGAGAGCAGAAGTAAAAAAGTTGACACCAAAATTGCTATGTTACATGTGTTGTATCTGACAGTTTGCTGATTTTTGAGAACATAGTTTGTCTTGAAATGTTCAGATCACCGTTTTAAAGGTAAAAGCCTAAGACAAAAATTAACACCAATTTGGCATTCTAGAAACATGCTAAATAAAACAGGAATCCTGACAGGCAACATCTAAGACTAGCCCTATAAATATCAGCGATCATACCTCATGGAAGTCGCTTGCATCAGTCAGTATGTAACTACTTGTGAGATTATTGTGCAAAGGCAAAAAGTAACTAAAGCATGCCTACTGTGAAAAAAAAAAAACAGCTAAGACCCAGCAATATCTTAATATACTGTAGATCAACATTCCTCTAATTAGTGAAAGAATGAGAAGTCTGAAATCCTAAAAACGTTTATTTTACAGTGAACACTGAAAATGTTTAGGTGTTGGTAGTTACAAGCTGGACAACAACTCAGAGCAAAATCCACATCATTTATATATCTGGACTGCCAGACAAACCTTTCTATAAAATTAATTGTCAGGGAAATTGTATTAAGTTCCCTAACACCTCTCTCCGACACACAGAAAGAATTAAACTTATGCAGCAGGTTAATCCTGATGTTATGTGGCGATTTCTTTGTTTGCCTTACAAAAATATGGATAAATTATGAACTATAGAAGGCTTGCATTCTCTACTCCTTTGTCCTTGACCATAATCTTTAGGGAATCTAGCATCATTGCATGTATCCAACTTTGCATACACACATGGTATGTCTTACAAGCCTTTCTCCCAGAGGAATAGAGAATCTCTTCTCTATGACTGCTTCCCCAGGACAATATCCTCCAGCCTACAAAAATATGCCTCAAAGTTGAGAAAGAGTGAATTAAAAAACAAGGATTAAAAATGTAACGAAGTAGTATGAAATCACAGAGGGGTTTTTTGCACCCCCAACCCGTTTTTTTCTTCTGATGACTCTTGGCAGTTTTACTGCCTTTAATGTTGAGGAAGAATTTATTACTCAATCCCAACTCACAAAAGATGGCTTAAACAACATTTCCAAGTGTCAAAAATAAGCTTTAACCACTGAACTGCTGTGGTTGTTAGACAAAATCTACATATTTTGAGATTCTAGTCATATTTTCACAATCCCATACAGGTAAAATGGAATTACCCAAATATATCCACAAGCCCAGACTATTATGTAGCTTCCTCTAGTGGTCAGTCCCTAAATCTTGTTTCTTCTGCTATTTACTGTAGATAATTTTATATGCAAATACTGAAATTCTGTGTTCTAACGCTGTACATTTGGGAAGGCATTAGAGTTTATACTTCAGCTCTCTAATACAAAAGCCAAGGAAACCAAGCCAAAACATACAACAGAACATTTGTTACTGATATTAAAAGGACAAACAGTGAAGTCAGCAAAAACTAGAGTTGGTATTTTAGTACTGATTTCCCCCCCCCTGTGAATATGCATTATAGTATATTTAGTTACTAGGCCAAACATGACTTTCCCACCACAAGACTCAGGAAGCAAGACAGATGTTCAGCTTTTAGTTGAGTCTTCAGATATTTGCTATGAATCATCCAAACTTTGTTTTGACCCTGGAATTAGTGTGTGTTTTAACAAGGCTTATCACTGTACAATAGGTTTGTTTCTGCAATGCTCCTTTTAAGGCAAGAGCAATTAAAAAGGCTTAGCAAAGCATTCACCAAATTTGAAATCTGAAATCAGATGACAATTTGATATACCACTAAAATACCACAATAAAAATCAAGGCATCTCTAAGATATGGGATTGGAAATTAATAGACTGAAGTTTTATACTGAGCATCAGAAATACTTCTTTACAGGCTTAAGTCAGTAAGAAAGAAGAGGGAAAGCCCAAATGTAGAAAGTGACAACTGGCCATTACAAAATGTATTACACTAAACAATCCAACTCAGTGTCCTTATAACATAATGGCCATCTCTGACTTCTAACTCAAAATTAAAATAAGGTAGACTTAGTAATCTGCTCAGACAATCTAACTGAAAATAACCACAAGGATTATTTAACTTGTACAGCTAGTAGAAAATGGTATCACTCGTGCAGTTTGAAAATGCTTTAAAATCTGAGAACCAATAACTAGTTATAAGGCTATTGTCTGAAATAGAGACAGTAACTTTCATGTCTAGCTGAACACCTTCCACTGCCTCAGATTCTTTATCACCTTCTTACACTAATAACTGTAACTTCCTGCATCTTGTTTTGTCTTTGCACTTCCCCGCACTATGGAACAAAAGAAATGCCCCCTAAACTCCCACCCCCCCCCCCCCCTTAAAGTGTGTAAAAGTCCATTCAGCTTTGACAAAGACCTCAAAATTGACATCAACATTTATTCATTTATACATTCCCAGCAAAAGTGCACACTGCCAGTGCAACAATGACTGATGAAACATAAAAGGAAGCAGAAACATTTACATCAAAGGTTAGGGACTAATTATTTTCAAAACACTACTGCATATTCCCCTGGGAATCCTACAGTCAGCCCAAGAAGACTAGCCTCACCAATACCCTGGACTGCTCATCCCTTCATTGCAGAGGCTCACATGGAGCTTCCACACACTTGTAACAAAGAAAAAGACAAATGCATGACCAAATAACTAACTTTATGTTTCTTTCCCTCTCTTCAGGATATTAGTCTCTGTGTCACCAGCTAATGCAGTCTGCCCTAGCATTCAAGCTGTGATTTGCCCCTTTGTGCCTAGTATTTAGGAACGTGCTCACTGCTTCAAAAGAGAGGCCCCTCAAATCATTCAGTGCAATGCTTACTATAAGGGTATCTCAGCAGTTAAAATACCTGGCACTACAAATCCATCTCTGCTGTCAGTATCTGCCTGCCCTCATTCATTTCTACAGCTGGAATCAGCTGGAAAGCATCTAACTTGTCCCCAGGAGAGCACACAGTGAGGGATTTACAGCATAGTAACTAACCTCAGGTCTCAAGTTTGCTTATTCCCTGGCATACCATTAAATCCTTGGGGAAAGATAACACAGCTGACAAAAAGTGTCACAGCCCCTCAAAATAAATACTGTCTGTCCAATCTGGGGGTGTGCTGCCAACTTTGTTTATGTTCCTGGCTTTCTTTCAGCACATTTTTAAAGCTGTGGACTTTGTTAGAAGAATAAGGAAGGAAAAAGATTCAGTCAGATATCTTCTCAGAAAAAGGTCTGTGCCTGTTCCTCATCACTCTAATAGCATTTTGCCATTACAGAAATGAATATGCAGTGATGTTTGGGTAGCAACATAAGAGCCTAATAAATAAAACATGAAAGTTGAAGTAGAGAAAATTCAATAAAATTTCATGCATGCTTTTCATTTTTCATGCTAAGGATCAGAATATTAAGTATGTTTCAGTGCCCGATTCTGCATTAAGTATTAAAGTCACTCACCATTACTTGTACTCCATTAGAATTAGAAACTCCAACCAAAACCCAGCATCAGAGACAGTACAAACAGTAAGTCAACATTGCAATAACATATTTACGTATAAGTGATAATTAAGTGTCTCTAATGAAATGGTTACATTAGAAACAGACAAGACAAATTAAGTAGAAAGATACCTGTTTTGACAGCATGGAATTGAAGGTACATGGGAGCCAGAGACTACTCTTCCTACACTCATTCTAGGGCTCAGAACACTTAGAAGTTATAGAATTAATATGGTTCTAGAAAGAACGATTTTGATATTAATTCTAACACATCAGAATATTTCAATTTTAGGATTGTCTGTTAACTGCTTAGTTACTGCCAGGGCAAATACTGATAAAACCCCCCTTACAGCATATACACAGATGAAAAGAAATGGTCAGTGTACCTGTATTGCATACAGCTTTAAAAAGAAAAGCAGCTATTGCTATTCTTTGACTTACCTCTCCATACCAAATTTTAAGCTAAAGAATTGCAGAACTTAAAGTGAACTTTTGCACAAAAACCAATATACAACTTACGCATTTCTTCAATGACGTCTGGGTCACATTCTCTGTATTTGTCTATTTCTGCCTTTAGCTGCTCTTTTTTCTGTCGAAGGGCAGCAAGTTCCTCTAGTAGAGCTGCACGTTCTGCCTGAGGATTCGAAGTATAGTGGGAGATACAAAAATAAAAATCAGTAATTACTGCCCAGAACCTTAAAAAAAAAAAAAGTAAATCTAAAAACTCTTTCATTACTGCCTTCTGTCAATGAACCAAACTGAAGAAAAAAAAAAACATAAGGACAAAATTTTCTACAACCTCTGAACTCTTGACAAACTCCAAACAGATCTTTTAATTGTTTGGCTTAAAGGTTACATGGTATTTAGGAGTGTTAGTCTTGTAATTAAAGACAGCATTACAGAAAACCCTATCATTCACATTTTCCCAAATCAGGATGCTGCATATGAATACCTTCTGAATTTATTATTCACTTCTTTTCCACACCATTTAAGAGTGTGGAAGAGAGTCTTAAAAATAGCTTGAGATATTTATGATATGGTAGTCTTTGCTGGGAGAGTATACAATATCAACCTCAAATACTCTATTGATCAATGAGAATTTTCAGACACTGACTCAACATGAGCCCTCCCATAGCCAACTCGGCACATACTTCTAATTCAGTCTGTAGTAACAGCCAAACATTGTAACTGGCTGATATTCAAAAGAACTCATGCTAGGGCACTGGGTAGCATAGAAAAGCCAGGTTGCCATTACAAAGTCACGCTATCTCCATGGCAGCCCAGGAGCCTCACGTGCTTTATTGTTTGTTTTTAGTGTGTCCTCCCCCCACCCTAAACTTTCTTATTCACAGTGCTTTTGCCAACAGTCTGGAGTCAGCACATCCTGAAAATGCAGATTGGAAATCTGCTCCCAGATGCTGGAGCATGGAGGCCAGCTCCTCAGAAACCTAAATCTTGATCTAGATTTTTCAGGACTTCTTCCTGGTGTATAATTCAGAACTAAAATGCTGGAAGCATCAACCAGAACAGGATTTCCAGTACCACTTGCTTCTTGTGACTAGGCAGGTCATGTGGTGAAGAAGCCCCAGTGTCTCAAACAGTCCAATTTGAAACCTGACAAGTACAACTGCAGGAGAAACTTGCCTATGATTTCCCAATTACAGTCAAACCCAGAATGTTTCTGTATAATATTTTGAATTCTAAGGTTTCGCACTTTCCTGCAAAATCTAATTCCTCCTGAAAGCTTCTAGCTAGCTCTACTTATACATTTATTTACTGGAGGTTTAAACCCCTTTAGACTCAACATCTCAAAACAAATGAACACCTTAGAACACTATATGAAGTACCGCTAACTAATATGCTACTTCATATATATGGTAAATATGAAGACTAAATATCATTTTGCAGTGTTAACAGCTTCAGCATGCAAACAGCACAAGGTTACATGGCTGCTCAGAATGGTAATTCAGAAATCTATAAGACTAAAACCAAACCAAACTAAAAAAAGAAAAAAAAGACCCCCAACACATAAGTTTATAGTTACTGGATTTGGCAGCTCAGCAACCATTGGCAACTTTGGTACATGCCTCTGGGTAGTTCAAGTTTTCAGATTTAAAGATATCTTTAAAAGCCTGAAAGATTGCCAGACTTCAGGCAGTCACACATTTTCTCTGCCTTGGAGCAGCCAGTTGTCAATATTTTACACATTAGGTCATGACCAACTAAGGAAAAATCTAATACCTGATTTATTTTGGCCCTATCTCATCTCCAGTATTTAGAACTCTTAATGGATTTCCAACAAGTACACTAGTATTTATAAACTATGGATACTGGAATGCCTCCCCCACCAAAGCAACTTACAGTATCTTCACGTCCAATTTTTGACTTCTCAATGCTTTTTTGTAAAGTCTCTTTTTTCTGATTGCTTTCAGCAAACTGGTAAATGAAACAAAGACCAAAATCAACCTATTTCAGTAACAAAGATTAAACATACCTATAAAACATGCATACACAGCAACATATTTAAATAAATAGATGAATATACATTTTTAGCTATATAAATTTATATATCTTTAACTTGTGTAATAAACACAAAATAACTGCAAAATCAACCTAATTTAAGTCTGAGGCTCTGAACTACAGAAAAGAATCACAGGAAGCAACTTAAAGTCTAAGAAATTTTCACTCCCACAGCACATCACCTTGTTACGCATTGCATGTTCAGCATGGGTCCAAAATCCTATTTCATAACCTGGCATCTCTGTGCAAAGGACTCCATGACATGGAGGATCTGGATTATATGATTTCTTCTGGTCCTTCTCCAGCTCTCCTTATTCAATGCAAGCAGTAAGGTGCAGCAGATCCACCCGGTCAGCTGCTAATACCAGTCTTTAAAGACTGATGTACCATAGGCATGGCCTCAATCCTTTTTGCATACTGGTGAATAGAAGCCTTTATAGCTCAAAGGCATGTAAAGCCATGTCTCCTATTTTCAGTGCTGCATTCACACTGCTAGACTTCAGAGTTCCCTTCCTTCAGGCCTGAAGCAGAGGAATCTCACAGACGTTGCATCTCACAGGGCTGGTGTGAATACTCTCTCCATTTTCATGTTATTCCAGGAGGAATCATTCATAAAGAGATGTCTTCATTAACCTGCCACCCATCTTGAGCCAGGCCCTTCCAGTTTAGTTGGAAGTTTTCTAGACACACTTTGGAAACTCTTAAAATAAGCAGGATTTATGAGTTGCCCCTTAGGGACACAAAGCATTAGCCTTCTGAAATATTAAATGAGATTAATAAAACTGAAAAAAAAAAGTCTAATAAAATAGTTTGGAAATAACTTACTGCATTGGAAACCAGAACAAAATAAAAATTAAAAAAAAAAAAAACAAACACAAAAGAAGAAACAATAGGATGCTTTGTAAGTACTCAAACTTTGGTTTAGCTTTAAGATGTTCTGAGCAACAGTCAGCTAGAAAACTAGAATATCAGACTAGTCATGAAGCTTATGAAGGTGACTCTCAGAGCCCAGGTTTCATTCTGCTTTCCATCAAAAACCCTCACACAAAACCTCTACTTCCATACTCCCTTTCTCACTGAGGATCCCTGAGTACAAATGCATTCCTTTACATTTCTTGCAATCCCTAGCCTTGATAATATAACCATATTTATACTCTTGTGCAACTGAAACACCACAACCACATTCATACAACACAAACGGAACTGTTTAGGAGCCATAATCACTTCTCAATTTCTATTTAAACTCCTTTTTAGTCTGTATTTTTCAGAAATACATACTAAAATGTAAATGCACGACAAATATTAGGCAGAGCTTACTGCCAAGTCTTAAGAGATCAGCCATAACGGTAAAAAGAAGCTCTGTACTGGTGGTCCATATAGATTAGGACACCACCCAACTGCAGCTCACTGGGTTTAGGGGTTCCTTTTATATAGCTCAATTTTTAAACATTAATTACTCTTTCTGGACCAGTATATGTTCATGCATGTGTGAGCATACATGCAGACAAGGGGGTCTCCTTTCAAAAAGGATGTTTTGGTTTTTCTTCAATTTACATAGAAATTATACGAATGGTAGACATATATAATCTGGGGAAAAGTACATCCAGCTGTTTACTCATTGCTCCCTATGCAAGTAACCACAGAGGCAGTGTGGATTCCAGTATGTGGCCTGAAGTACACCAACACCTTAATTTTGTGGTTAGTTAAACAGTACTTTTTCAGGGTTTTCCACAAAATTCTTAAAGATGTGTGTTAGTCACCACATGATGGTGTACAACAGAGAAGCATATATGCAGTTCAGAAGAGAACAACTATTTAGGTGCAGTTCGCATTTCATGAAGCCCAAGGAAGACAAACACCAGAGCACACATAGTTCAGTGTCTCTGAATAAATTTTTCTTGCAGAAGAAGCCAAGGAGCTTATCTATGCCCATATACTGCAAGTACAAAGAATAAGCCAATGCCTTGTGCAAGGGAAGCCATAAAGGTGTTGCTTTCTATGTTTTTTTCATATTCATGAAGTTATTTATGAATGTATCTGCATTTTTTAAAATAGAAGCAGATAATGAGCTCTCAGGGAATTGCACTAAAATCATAATAGCTGGTTTCCAGCTTGGAAGCATGTTTCTCAGTATGACATCTTACTATCTTATGGATCCTCTATATTCCACAGCATTTAATCATGAAAGAGCATGACAAACACTAAGAATTACAGAAATTACTTAGATTCTAACCTACATAACATGTAAGGTTGCCATGCCATGAAGTTAGAAAATTAGAATATCTCTCTCTGAGAGCAATGATGATTTTTATACAGTTTTATTTAAGATTTTGTTTTCTAATCTCACAGATTGTAATTTCTGATGGAGCTTTTTGTTTGTTTTATTCTGTCTTCACAATCAAGACTTTACCAAATAGAATGAAACCACAGCTCTCTGTGTATTTAGAAGTCACAGTGGGTATTCCCATGACAACAAATAAAAAAGTAAAGGAACAGCAGAAGGAGGCAAGATATTATAAAAAAACAAACGTAGGACAAGGATGCAAAGGCAAAGGAACAGATGGCCAGGGTCTGTGCAAGAAATCTGTAACAATGGGAGAAGCAGGAAGCCTTGAATATAGAGGTGGGAACACCGTTGAAAATAACGGTACATGAAAGAAGGGAAGACCATCAGCAAGGATAAAGGAGTCTGAGGAAGGATGAACACAGATGATACAATACTTAATTGAGAGGTAAGGACAAATGGCAGATGACACGCAGATTTACAGGGCATTAAAAAAGAAAGGCAGAATTTGCAAGTGTTGTATGTATGTATAACAGCAGAGGATCACATCTGGCCAAACAGTGACTTGCTTTCCCACTCACCAGCTGCAGAAAATCCTGACTGCAAAGGTACACAGTAGCAGATGGAAGATTTCAATCCCTGAAGCAATCCTGGGACATTTTTCAAGGTAATCAGCAAATTATTTCTCAAGAAACATCAACCATCCTGAGAGAAATCTGACTCCTGCCAATAGCAGTGGGATTGATCTGGAGAAAAAGATACTTACTGTCTCCCTTCTATGTTTCTTAAAAGTGATGTCTGGCCTGACACATGAACAACTTTCTGTCACAGATGTAATCGACCAGGTGGGGAAAACAAGTACAAAGATACGCTCTACTGTACTAGAAACTTTCATATCTCCGGTCTGACTGCTCCAAATCAGCACATGATAAAAGCAAGATGCTGGAAAAGCAAGAAAGCTGGAAAAATACCATCTGTGGGAAAGCTGTCCGAAGGAGGAGGAGAGACTAGATAATTAGAAGTCAAAAAGTAAAGAAAAAAAATCTCAACAAGAGCATTTTCAGTGTTGGCAAAACATGCTGGGACCCTGCAAGAAGACCGTTTAATGAAGTAACTAACTAACATCTCTAAAACAGGAAAGCTGGGAAACAGTTACTTTAGTTTTACAGACCACTGTGGTCAGTTAACTGACCACTGGCCTAGCTTCAAAACAAATTCAATCCAAAGTCCCCCAAAGAGATGTTCTTTCTTACATTGGAACAGTCTCACAATGTTTAGTTATACCTTTGTGCAGTAGTTTGCATGTGCTAAGTGCTACGTCCTGATGATAATCATCTGTTCCATCACTGGCCTCAGGGTCTGGTTTCTATCAAAGGATAGATTAGATGTACACAGATAATTTATAATATACTATGCATGCATCATTACTAGGATTTCACTTTGGCAAGTTGGTGATGTACACTTGGATGAGGAACATTTAACCCTGACACACAATGGTAGCAGGTTTCAGCTATCCTCCTTCTCAAAACCTGTCTGATACTGTCCTAGCTCTAAATGACTGGATTTTTATTCTCTAGCAAGAGTTTTTGCTGGTCATATTCCTTCTGGTTCCTCATTCTTAACCACTCTAACCACCAACATCCCACCAAATATGTAGCTTGCCTCCCTAGCATAATATCTACAAACCTTGAGTAAGCCACGCAAACACAGACCATAAAGTATGTACAATGCACAAGAACCAAACCAAGGTCTCATATGCTAACCACCAAGAGCATTCACAGCTGTTAGCCCACTGTCATTATGGTCTTAAAGAGAATTATCATACACTCAAGTGTTCTTTCAGCAACACTCAACTAAAAGTTGTATTAAAAACTACTGCTATTGTGAATGCTACTCACCATGGCACTACAGAATAGTAATTCAAGACATCAATTTTTTAATTGTTTATAATTTTGCAGTTATTTACTTTGGGTTTGAAGCTCACAATACTTTGCAAGGCAAGGGCTTCCTTACTTTTAGCTTAAACAAAAGCATCTCAAGATTTTTAGGGTGACATTTGTTGTAGATGGGTGTATTTCTTTCCTATATTAAACCTAACCCACCAGAGAAAAATAGAATTGACAGAAGGCATGGAGAGAAAGTACTTCAAAGCATTCCTCTAGATTTTAAAGAAAGAAAAAAATTTAAAGCCAGAAAGCAGACTAATACGGAGAGTAAAAACACAAAGATTAACAGCCATAGGACAGTCTGAATATATTGAGAACAGACCTGGAGTGTTAAAAGAAAGGCATAGAACATTACTAAAAGAAACTGCTCAGCAATCAATATTGTTGACTAAAACAATAAAACTTAAAAGAAGGGAAAAAAAAGGTGTAGCACATCCATGTGCAGAATTGCTTTATAAAGTACTACACAATAAGCATACAACTACTGCTTTTACATGTAGAGTCACAAATACATACTTGCCAGGGCCTCCAAATATACAGAAGTAAAACTTCTAAACTAGCTAATTGTGTTCATAGTGCAGTAGAAAGTACTACCATGAACCGCAGTATGGTCACTTCCACTCTGCTCTCAGGATGCCTGCGTACCACTCATATAACCTACCTAGTGAACTCAGTTACAGTAGAAG